GGGGGGGGGGGGGGGGGGAGACGATGAACTGCTTCATGTGGTACTTTATCACACGTGGAGCTATTCCATACAAATTGAAAAAGACGCTCTGTTTAAGTTTATGTGATAATTGCCTTTTTGGAGTAGGTAGATGTATGTCTTTAAGGATTAATCTATTGGAGAGAGTGCATTTTGGTTTTGAATTTTTCAAGAAATTGCCACTTCATCCCTTATGCTCTTCAAGCTCTGAGCTCGGTTGGAGCCAATTTTCTTACGCCACTGGAAGAAAATTTCCCTTGATTTAAGCTTTCAGAAGCAAGTAATTGAATTTACTCGTATTTCAATATCATTCATTTCACAGCTACCAATATTCTATTTTGTGGTTGATTTGAAGTTTTTTGAACTATTTTCGTTTCGAAATTGAACTTTTTCATAGCTCAAAATTATTTTAATATACTCTAATTGGTGGCTCTCAATGAATTAGATCCCAAAGTTGGAGAGGACCTATTTAGTCCTTAGTTAACGTTGTACCAGAGGAGCTGTGTGAACCCATCTTGGTTGTTCAGACGATAATTCAATACTGGAATTTACTTAAATATCTTCTGAAGAGTGCCGAAGACATCATTTCTACCTCCATCTTATTTACCTAAAAACGGGCGACGCTGTTATCCTGTGGGCCTTAGAAACAGCCAATATAATTTTACTCATTTTTTACGTCTATGATGTGAAGTCCAGCTATACTGATGAACGTTTATATGCACTAATCATCTTTTTATACTTATACTTTTTTTTGCTTGCACACAACTTGAATAATTTTGACTGTTCTGGGTGTATTGTATCCCTCTTGTATTCGAGCTTATGTATTTTTTCCTCGAAATCTAGTGACTGAAAAATTATTTTTGTGCCACTTGTTTTGGGTAGGTAGTTAGTAATTTTTCATTAGTTTTTGTAGTAAACCGGCATTAACCTCACTATTTTAACCGATCCATTTATTAATGGCTATTTATTCTATTATTTCTGCCATTATATGGGCAAATGACCGCTTTACAGTTGAGGCTGACTCCAAAGTGCCCCGATACCGCAGTCGGAAGTCACGTGCTGTTAACGTACTCATCTGTAAAGTTAAAGGTCACAGGCTCGATACCCACAAATCCATATCCAGTGAAATGTTTAATCTACTTATTAATAAAGTTTTAGAAATCGAGTTTTACATCTGGACGGTTTCAAGAACATAGTTCTTTTTTTTCAACTCGAGCTTTGGACAGAGACTATGGTTTATTAAACTTATTGATTTTACTAATGCTTTATTTTTGGCTACTCCTTAGAATTCCATTTTTATATAACTTACTCTTTTTTATTTCATTCTAGATGCACAAGGAACTGGAGGCTTCAATGAAGAAATATTACTCAACTCTCTCTTCAGTAGAAACTATGCACCGATCTGCTGTACTACGTTAAGAAATCGACGATTATTTTGTAAATTTTTATTTATAGGAATTATCGTGTTTTGTTAAATAAATTGTCATATTGTGATGTCTTCTCGTTTTTTTTATTTGACTTGATAATCGTGCGAATATTAAGTGAAATCTTATCTTAGTTGACTAGTTGACTCACATTTGGTTCGATGGCCAAGATAATTACTGGGTTCCAGGACGTTATGTACATGTGTTGCTCTTGAGGTTATAAATAGTGCATCCTTTTATGGCTCTACAATTTATACTATATTAAGAACACGGGAGTTTGTGAGAATACAGAGCTTTCGCAAGCAACCAATGAGGGTTTTGTGGATCGGATTTAAAATTGACACGGGCAGGGGTGTCCGATAGACTTACCCCCCACTAGGTGCACCCTGGGTAACGTATACTCATACGGCAAAAAAGTCTATTAACCGGCAGTTGATTTCTGACTTCAAACTACCATGACCCCCCTGTATGTCATATTCGACCCCTTCCACAGTACTCATCTTACCTTTTCTCTGTCTATGTGTCTGTCTATCTCTTTGGCATCCTTGAATCACTTTTCTGTTCCCCCTCTCCACTTTTTCACTTTGATGCTCCTTCCCCTCTGTGAAACCCGAAGTCAGCTAAATGCCTAATTGTAACTATCATAACGCATGCCATTTGAAATAAATAAATTGACACGGGCAATGTTTTTACCTGGTATTAAATTTGCTTTGAGGTCTCTGGCTTGTCTTCTTATTACTCAGTTGCCTAGAGGGTACGTAGTTTTCTCACACAAAATTCTTTCATAAAAAGTACGAATCCACGATGATAGTAAAATGATCCGCTAAATATTTCTAGTGTCTATTAGTTAGCCATAATGCAAGATGAAATTGTTTAAAAGCTGTTTTCTTCTAAAATGAAAAGAAATAGAGTTGAGATGCCCTTCATTCGATTGTGATTTCAATGATCTGGAACCTTGGTTACATATGGATCAACTAGGATGATCATGATGATTCATATTTGGTGGGAGGTAGGCATATTTTGGTCAGTTAACCACCTATGTAATTGGATGTGCATTAATGAGTGTTGATACGTGACCTCTGATCCGTTCACTACCAAACCACTTAGGGAAATAATTCGTAATTACTCACGTTAGAAGTGATCAGTGACTGTATTTTATTTATTTATATCAAATGGCAGGCGTTTTGATAGTTATCATTAGCCATTTAGCTGACTGCGGGCTTCACAGAGGAAAGGTTCGTCAAAGTAACAGAAAGTCGAGGGGTAGGGAACGGAAGAGCGATTCACAGATGTAAAAGAGACAGACAGACACAAAGGCAGAGGAAAGGTAAGATGAGTACTGTGAAAGTTGGCGAGTATGCTACGCAGTGGGGTGATGGTAGTTTGAAGTCAGCTGCCGGTTCATAGACTTTTTTGCCATTTGAGTATACGTTGCCCAGGGCGCACCACGTGGAGGTAAGTCTATCGCGCACCCCTGACTGTATTTTATTAAAACTACCACCCGTCCAGAT